TCTGAAATCCACCTGCCTCTCCCTCCCAAGTGCTGAGATTAAAGGCATGCCCCACCACTGCCCGGCTCCTAGTTAATGTTTTAATGTTGTATGTGGAGTGATTTCTTTCTGGGATGATATAGTAATTCTGGGAGAGCTGCTTCTTCTTCCTTTTATAGAGATGTTTCTAAGACAAGCTCTGTGACTCAGGTAGCCTTGATCCTGGTCTGTTGCTCCCCAGGTCAATGACCTTGGTTTCCTCTTTATAAAAATTCCTAAGTTCTTGAGTTAAAGTAATGAAGCAAAGCTGAGTTTTATAATTGCTCAGTTGAGTCATATAATGAACTGCATATTTCTTCTACCTTCAGATGAGAACAGAAGGAATGGTTTACTCTGTTCACTGTCAGGTGAAAGAGGGCAGGAAATAGCTAGATCACAGACCAAAGTATAAGGGAGTCCACTGCAGGTGTCACCATTCTGGAAAAGGACCTGATTCAGGCAGGGTGAACAATTTTGTAATTTCATAGCATGTATTAAATAGTGCATGTTGCTAAATAAAACATTGGTGGGTTTTTAATTTGAGAAAGCTGGCTTGAAGCAGTGGATAGTGAATTCCCATTTTAGGACATGTATTATTTAGTTATGTGCTATCCTTGTTGATATATTTATGTGAGCTTAGAAATGTAAAACACATGCCTTTAGCTGTAGCTGGGTGTGTCACATTATAGATCTCAGTAGGTAACATAGCACATAGTGGAAATGTCACACACTATCTCTTGATCAAACACTATAGCCTTGATCCCTGTGTGTTGCTCCTCAGGGCAATGACCTTGCTTTTTGCTTGATGAAAATCACAAATTCTTAAAATTTGTGAATTAAAATTTTGAATTAAAAGAATGCTGCACAACAACATTTTAAATGTCCTTATTTGAATCATATAATGAACTGTCCGTTTCTTCCATTTTCAGATGAGAACAGGAGGAATGGTTTACTTCATTTACTGTCAGGTGAAACAGGGCAGGCAATATCTAAATCTCAGACTAAAGTTAATGAGAGTCAGCTGCAGGTGTCAGTATTCTGGAATAGGACCTGATTCAGATAGGGTGAATAATTTTATAATTTCACAGTGTATATTTTATATTGTATATTGTTAGACTTTGGTGCACAACTTAGAACAGACAACAGACCAAATGGTTCCAGGGGATGGGGTGTTATTTAGGGATAGGGCAAAGGTAAGAGGAGAGAAATGGGAGAAGATTGTGGAGAAAGAGGAGAGAGAGAGAAATGGAGGCCGGCCATGACCACATGGAGAGAGGGGGAAGGGAAGTGGGGAGAGACCAGGGGACAGAGAGAAGATAGAGGCAAGAGCGCAAGAAAGCAAGAGAGCAAGGAGGACGCAAGCAGACCCTTTTATAGTGGGCAGGCCTACCTAGCTGTTGCCAGGTAACTGTGGGGAGGAGCACACCTGGGTTTTGCCAGATAACTGTGGAAGTGGAGTTTAGACAGAATACTAACATATATGATTAAATTAAACTAGGTTGGTGGGTGTTTAATTTGGGCAGCTTAACTTGAGCCAGTGGATAATGAATTTTGTTAGTAGGACTGGTATTATATAGATATGAGCAATCCTAGCTGACATATTTATGTTGGTTCAGAAATGTAAAACACTTGCCATTAGATGTAGCTGTGTGTGTCATCTTATAGATCTCAGCAGATAACACTGTACCTAGGGGCAAGGACAAACACCATCTTATTAATGCCATCGCCTCTTCCAGGAAGTGTCTGCTCTTTTTTAAAGTCATTATACTAATATGTTTTTTCATTTATATTTATCTTTTTAAAAAGTCAATTTTTGTTATTAGTTTTTAAATTTCATTTTCATTATGCATAGGTGCTCTGATCTCTTACTTGTTTGCATTCTCCAATGTTTCCCACAAATTAAGAATGTCATTCCTTTTTCTAAAGAGATTTCCTATTTGTCTGTTTAGAACAACATCTCGTGTAGCTCAGGCTTTCCTTGTGCCATGTACTTAAGAGTTGCTTTGAACTCCTGTACCTGTCTCTGCTGCCCAGTGTTTGGAAAACAGTCCTACAACTCCTTTCAATCTGGTTTCTGATTGATCAGTGAGACAAAACATCAGGGGACAAGTGGTGTCTATCATGCCCAGATTAGGAGTGAGGGGATTACAAATAAAAGAGGGACCTGTATGAGAATTGAGTTCACTGACCAACTATGGAGCTGGTATAATTGCAGCACAGAAAAGGAGGAGAAAGAAGGAAGGTGAGGCCTTTCTCCTTTGGCAGTAGTTGGCATTCACCATGACTAGTCAAGTAAGGAATTTTAGAAAAGAATCAGTAAAATTCCTTACTGGCAATCTTGGGGTATTTTTCAGATTAGGGAAATGATGAATTTAAATGAGGACATATACTTATATCTAGAAACCAACTTTCTATATTTTCACTAGTTCAAACAAAAGTAGATCTAGGCAAACTGGTGTGGCTGTGTCTAACAGGAATATGATTATTCCTATTTGAAAATACACAGTGTAAGAGAAAAAATATAAGAACTACTTGGTACATGTGTTCAGTTTCTCAAAAATACTGGACCATAAAGTATGTTTTAATTCTTAAAAATAATCTTTGAGAATATAATTGTCATTCCTTCCTTCTCCTTTCTCCCTAGTGTTAAGTCTGAAACTCTGGGACAAGGAGCTGAGAGGCCTGTTTAACAAATCTATGCAAACCTGGCTGTCTGGTTCTCTCATCAGACTGCAGTTCTTACCTATTATAGAATATTGATTGGGTTGCCAATATCCAAGCTGCCATTCCTTATGCAATCCGACTATTTTTGGACTGGCCTTTTTCATCTATTATTAATCATTCTTATCTCTTGATCTGGTTCTTCCTTCTCCCATTCTACCTCTCCAAAATGACATGTCTTATCTAAACTCTCCGAGATATAATTGGGTCTCCCTATGTTCTCTCTTTTGTGTATAATAAATTTTCTACTCCACCATACCTAGTAGTGATTTCCTATCATTTTTATTTCTTTTTTTTGTTTGTTTCATTTCTCTTCAGTTAACTGCTCCTAGCTTTAAATTTCATAGCCAATTTTTCTTTTTAATTGTTGTTACTCTATGAATTTGATTGCAGTTTGGCTGTATGTCATCCCCACTTTGAAGCACAGAACATTGCATGTATAATTGATTATGCAAAGAAAGAACCCTGTGCCTATAACAAGGAAAATAAGTGCTCTGGGAGAATAGAATTCAATTAAATGCAAATTACTCAGACTAGGCTTATGTCTGCATTTAGGGTGGAAGAGAAGGGCTTGGATGGTTTCAGCTATCTGATTAATTTGCTCTGTGGTCCCCAAGTTGAGGAGATGCTACTTACTCTCCTAATGCCCAGCTGAGTTTTCCTAGCTAATGAGGGACTCTGGCAGGCCTGTAGCTTGCAGGTTCTTTACAGGATTTTCCTCAGATGCATGTGTTACAAGCTATGCAGAAGACCACAAGCCATGCCCTGGTGATTGTGGCCATCTCTATCATCAGGATGGGAAGAACAAGACTACTGAGCTATCATAGTCAGATCTACTGGTACTAAGAGGGACCATGGTTCAGAGCGTGGTTCTGTTGCTCCATGTAGTGATAATAGCAGAGGATAATGGCAGTGATCCTGACAGTGGATTCCCAGGGAGGGTCTGTAGCCTTTTGAGTGGCAAGGTATGAAATATAAATGTCACTATCCAGTGTGTATACACAGGCATTGCTTTTGGTGTGCAGCAGGATGACATTGCAAAAGTGGAGGTTTGATTTCTAGAATTTGTGAACTTTCTATATTCAGTTTTGTGTGACGAGTTTTATACATAATTTAGAAATTAATTGAAGATGTGATAGGGATCATACTTCAGAAACATTAACTGGAATCGTTTAGCCATTCTGTTACCTCCAGTACTACTGGCAGGATACACAGAAATTCAACTCTTTGTTACAAAAGGAGCTTGTGTGATGTAGAAGTTTCTCAGGTGTGTATGGTGCTGGATAGCTACATAGGACAGATTTTAGATCTCATAACATTATCCATGTGGCAGGAAGCAGATATTAAATCATTATTCTATATTATATTTTGTTAGACTTGAGTGGAGCTACTTTTCCCTGAAATCACTTGGACTCATGAAGAGCTACAGCGCCATAGAGCACCTTTCTGATTACCTACCTTTATTGTCAGAACTCTATACCATCAGGCCTCTCTGTTTGGAAGACAGACAGGTCGTAACTGAAAGGTCAGAAATACAACATTTTAGGAGTCACTTCAGTTATTTTTGTAGAAGTCATGAATTCTGTTTTTATTTTATTTTGTATACAAGCATAGGTAACATTGGTCAAGTTCACATTTTTCCTGGTGTACTTCCCTCAGTTGTTTGGAAGTGAACTTGAAAACAGATCACATGGAAATGGGCAAAGGATGATTTCTCTGATATTGTGTTTCAGAGCATTGGGCAACAGTGAGAATTTGGTCTTAGGAAACAGATTGTGGGATGAGTCTTTGGACAGCCTACTTAGTCTTCTGGAGGACTGGCCTGTGGTTAAGTAGGGGGTTTCTGCCCTTAGTTCAGAGCTCAGACACAGAGATGGGGTAAGAAGGGAAGGGAAGACAGAAATGGTCTTTTGTATCTACAGGGGGGCTGGACATGTGAGAAGAAACTGCAGTCCTAAGGGCAGCCTTGGGTACTGGGTCTCAGGGAACAGAAAGTGAGGAAGGTCTGGCAGGATGCTACATGGTCTCATATCCAACATCTTAATACAGAGGCATCAGGGTCCCAGAGATCATTTATTTGCTTCTACATTTACTTCAGTTTTTGTTTTTCTTCGACTGTGAATGACTGTTTGCTTATTGGATAAAAAGTGCTGTGTGGATGGGGAGGGAAGTCAGTAAGTATACTTTTTGAAGTACACATGTACACTGTTGTTGGAATCATGCTTTCTTATGTACATATATACTGGAATTTTTAGGATGTAGTGACCTATGATGACGTGCATGTGAACTTCACTCCAGAAGAGTGGGCTTTGCTGGATAGTTCTCAGAAGAGTCTCTACAAAGATGTGATGTTGGAGACCTGTAGGAATCTCACAGCTATAGGTAATACAGTGATTTTTTTTTTTTTTTTAGCTTTTGAAATGTAGGCGCATCTCTGTTTTTTCGTTATTGTTATTTAATTTTGTAATCTCACTTCATAATGAGGTAAATAAACAGAGATGTTTCTAAAGAACACTCAAGTTGACAACTTAAATGTCTTATTTCCAATAATGTAACATACTTTCTCTGGCACCATATTTTAGGCCACAATTGGGAAGATCATACTATTGGTGAGCATTTTCCAAGTTCCAGAAGACATGAAAGGTAATTTTCTTGTGCAAGCTGATAAGAAAGTGCCTATGAATAAAGTTTAATATGTGCTACAATTTGTAAAGAAAAGCAATAGGGTAAAATGTGCACTAGATTAAGTTATAGATGATTATTAGATCTCACAAAGTCATGTATGTCAATGGCAGACATCCAGTTTGTGTTTGCAAGGTGTTCCTTAATTTCAAAAACACAAAAGAGGGGCTTAACAGATAATGTCACTATTTGAATCAAGCTCAGTAAAACCATGTTCTAGAACAGCCAGTGTGTTCAGTCTCATAGCACTTAGCTAGTTAAAAGGAAAACAGATTTATTAGGTTATAAGCATTTGTCTAAAACCTTGTAACAAGCAAATAATCCATAGTAAGTCTGTTGTTAGTCATATACTTGTAATAGCATTGCTAAATTTATAGAGATGGACAGTTTATGAGATTTAAGGGTGGCTTTGCAGAGAATCTTTAATCTCTGTACCACATCAATATGAGAGAAAACGTCAAACTCTGTGAATGTAATGTGGAACCCTTTCACTTCTTATTCTTTTTTTTTAATATGGATGACATAGATCATGATGGATACAACCCATTTGAGCATAGAGATATTGAAAGAAGCAACATACGTTTCTCTTTTCCAGAACAATTAGCAGATATATAGCACTGCCCACTTTGAATAGACATTTCTAAATATGCTAAAAGTTTATAAATAAATAGTTTCCCAATATTATTGAGAATATTTACTGCTGAAAATCTTTATGAGAATTAGGGAAGTATAAATGTTTTCTGTTAACATTGGTTTATATTCCACATGTACTATTATTCACATAATAGCAAAATTTATTAATGCAATCAATGTATAGTAGCTCTGAATTCTTCCTGTTCTCTTCAAATATGTGAATAACTTCTTATAAAAAAAAATGTGTCCTATAAATGTGAGCCATTAATCAATACTCTTCCCATTCCATGCATCTTTAAAGATGTAAACCAACCAATAATGAACGACAACACCTTTGAATGTTAACAAAGTGATATGGTAAGATCAGATTACCATTACAATTTAACCAAATTGTAAATGAATTTATACAGATAAAAACACTCATCAGTATAATCAATGTGAGAAAGCTTTCACATCTGCCAATTTCTTTGCAGGCATGATAGAAGTGGTTTTGGAGAGCAACCCTCTGAGAATGTTCAATGTGCTAAAGCTTTTGCATATCAGAGTCATATTCAAAGGCATGAAAGTACTCATAGTGGAGTGAAACCGTATAAATGTAACCACTGTGGTAAAGCCTTTATGAGAAGGAGTAAACTCCGAATACATAAGCGAACACATACAGGAGAAAAACCTTATGAGTGTAACCAGTGTGATAAAGCCTTTGCACGTAGCAGTGCTCTCCGACGTCATAAAAGAATACATACAGGGGAGAAACCCTATGAATGTCAGCAATGTGGTAAAGCCTTTATACACAGCAGTGGTCTTGAATATCATAAAAAAACACATACAGGGGAGAAACCCTATGAATGTAACCAATGTGGTAAAGCCTTTGCACACAGCAGTGTTCTCCGATGTCATCAAAGAACACATACAGGGGAGAAACCCTATGAATGTAACCAATGTGGTAAAGCCTTTTCACGAAGCAGTAGTCTCAAATATCATAAAAGAACACATACAGGGGAGAAACCCTATGAATGTAACCAATGTGGTAAAGCCTTTGTACACAGCAGTGGTCTTGAATATCATAAAAGAACACATACAGGGGAGACACCCTATGAATGTAACCAATGTGGTAAAGCCTTTGCACATAGCAGTAGTCTCAAATATCATAACAGAATACATACAAGAGAGCAACCCTATGAATGTAACCAATGTGGTAAAGCCTTTGCAGGAAGGAGTAACCTACAAAAACATAAACGAACACATACAAGAGAGACACCATGTTAATGTTACCAATCTGGTAAAACTTTTTCACACCTCTCTATTCTTGATATACATATAAGAATATATATTTGATTGAAATCTTTTGAGTGTATTCAATGTAGTAAAGGTTTTCCAAGAAGCAGTCATCACCACAATGATAAAAAGACACATACATGAGAGCATATTTTGAATGTGAGCAATGTTGTCTTAAACTTTTTTCACAAAGCAGTGTCCCCCACATATATAAAGGACCATATACTGGAGAGAAACCCTGTGAATATCATGAATGTTCTGAAGCTCTTCTATGTCCCAATCATCTTCAAATACATAAAAGAACATGTTCTGGGGAGAAGTCCTCTGAATGTAACTAATGTGGTAAAGCATTTTCATAAAAGAGTCATCTAGTACATCAAAGGATGCACACTCAAGAGAAACACTATGAATGTAAACACTGTAGTAGACTTTGCAAGTCACAGTACTCACCATGTAAATAAAAGAAGACACACTCAAGAGACACCCTATGAATATCATCTACGGGATAAAGCGTTTTACATTGCAATCCTTTTCAAATATACAAAAGAAGACATACAGGTGAGAACCTCTATGAATGTAAGCAATGTGGTAAAGCCTTCATATGTCAGTCATATTCAAAGGCACAAAAGAAACTATAATGTAGAGAAATCCTGTGAGAATATAATATGATGAAGCCTTTGCACACTTCATAGTCTTCATCACCATGAAACAATCCATACTGTGTGTAAATTTATAGATACATTTAATGTTGTGAAGCCTTTTCAAATTTCCCAAGTTTTCATCAGCATGAAAGAGAAACCCTATGAATGCATTCAATATGGGGAAGCCTTTGTACATTTTTGCAGTCTTCATCATCATGAAAGTAATCATAATGGAGAGAACATCTATGAGATTAAACAATGTGGTAGAGCCTTTCTGGTCTGCAGTCCTTTCAGATTCAACACCTCTCAATCTCAGATAATGTAAATGACAAGACTTTATCATTATAAAGCTGCTGCTGGTTCATGACATAATCGGAACATAATATGTGACTTGTAACACACACATTTCCCCATAGTGAGCCAGAATGTTATAGAGTTGCCATCCTGGAGTACAAAATGGTAACCAACATTTCCTAATGTCTGTAATGACTGCAGGAACAAAACCAGAGAGGAGCCTGAGCAATAGGAGGTCTAGTAAGGTGCCCAAAATGAGATCCATCTCAATGGGTGGCTCCAAAGTCTGCTTACAAACAGAGGCCTGTCATGACTGACTTCCAAGAGGCTCACTAAGCAGCTGAAAGAAGATGCAGATGTTTCCACCAAATCAATGGACAGAAACTGTTAACCCTGTGGTTGAATTAGGGGAATGCTGGAAGAAGTTGAGGAGAGGGAGACTGTATAGAATGACCAGCAGTCTGAACTAGCCTATAGCCCTGGGATCTCTCAGACACTGAGCCACCAACCAGGTAATGTAAACCACCTTGTATACAGTAGAGGGCTACTGAGCCTGTACTCAGAGAAGATACAGTTGACCCTCCAGAAACTTGGGTCCTCAGGGAGTGGGAAGGTCTGGTGTGGTGGGGATTGTGCATGGGGACATCTTGGAGACTGGGACGAGGAGTAGGATGAAGAAGAGTTGCACAGTGGACCACAAGGGGTATAAAATCTGGATTGTAAAACAGATTAAACAATAAATGAAGAGAAAAGAAAATTATAAAAATAAGGAAAGAAAACCAGAAACTTCTGTGCCAAGTTATAACTACATTTTCCCTACAGTCAGGATTTAGGGATAGGGGCTTATGTAGTTGACAAGTTCAACTGATATAGATTGTGAGTTTTACAATTTAAACAATCATATTGATTTGATCTTTGGTGGTAAAGAACAGGTGTTATATTTTGAGGAGCACAAGATGAATAACAGAAGGCATTGTTAGAGATAGTCATTGTGTTTTCAAGAACAAAAGAAGAGTAAAGGATGGTGGTCCAGAGTGGAAGTCCCTAACTCCCCCATACCTTGAAGCATGAACATAAGTTTTGCCTTGTGATTAAATGGAGGATGATAACAAAATGAAGTACTTAAGGAGTGTGGTTTTGATTTGCTTTGTGCTTATTTTTAATTGTTGTGTATTGATTCTAGAGCTACTTATGTTACATTTGTTCTCAAATTTCATGATAATCCTCTTTTGAGACTTTTAGATTCCATGCCCCAAGCTGGTTCTAATAGGTAAATAAAATTGAGAGCAGCCAGTTACTAGGCAGGAAGACACAGGCAGGGATTTTGGATCCATGTGCAAGGAGACCGAAGAGATCACCATGCCAGTTAAAGCAATTTGATCCAGGCTTTAGAGCTGCAAAAGAAAGAATGCCAGCCATTAAAGAGCCAGGAAAGAATGTCCCCATTGTTCCCTCCTCCAATTGAACCTGGAGTAGCAGAAATTGGATATAGATCTTAGTAATAATTCAGGAGTATCACAGGGGAACCATTATCGCAGGGGAAGTTTGGTAGTTGCCCAACCAATAAGCTGATTTAGGCATATTAAATAAAGCTATGTGTGTTTGTCTTTTATTTGAGAACCCATAGCATTTGAAAGGCATCCTAGAGTAGAGCAGAATGATCAACGAACTCTACAGAATGCGTCTTACCTTTAGGATTGAACTCAGTATTAAAAATTATTTGGAGATTCTCAGATGGAAAACACATGCCGTGATGTGAGATTAGGAGTTGTTGAAAATTGTATTCTTAGCAGAGTTGCTGGTTGTGCTGAAGCCATGTGGTCCCTGACCAAGCTGTGCAATTTTCCAACTAGTACCAAAGGTAAATTGAACTGGCATGCAAAATTCTAGGGTTCTTGGCATGAACTAGGACACAGCAAAATCTCCAAAGCTGACCCAGATAATCTGAATAGTAAGCATTTATTATGAGCCCTCTTCAAAGGTTTCTGGCTGTCTCAGAGAATTTGAGCTCTGATGTAATGTCTGAAGAAACAGGATTCTGAGAAAGCAGAAACAGAGTTAGATGGTAGAGGCTGCCTGCCAGCTATAATCAGATAAAGAAAGGAGAGAGATAGTTGAGATTTGGTAAAATGTTTTTCAGGATAAAAGAGATATACTGGTAACAGTTTAAGTGTTTGTGAGTCTACATGGAATAAAGTAATCTAGGCCTGTGATCTCAAATGTAGGAAACAAAGGCATGAAGTTAGAGGTATTCTATCTCATCAAATAATAATGGTGTTAATCTCAATATAATATAGAACAAATAGAAAAAATGCTTTAAAGAAAAATTTAAAAGTTGATGCCAGAGTATCCTTGTCAGCAAGACATTAAACAGGTGTCCGGGAAGGTCACCTGAAAAAGAGGGGGGAAACAGGCAGATGCAAAGAATCACAGCTTGTCTATAGTCTGATCAAATTGTAATTTTTACTTTTTCACACAGGGGCACAAAAAGGCAGGATGTGGGGAAAGGGTTGACACAGGAGCGTAGGTGTTCAGGAAAAGTACAGATACTTTCCAGAACTGTGTGTCAACTGGGTGAAAGTTCAGGGGACAGATCACTATGACTCCGCCTATGATTCACTTGTCCTTAACAAAGTTGGTACTATCCACCAAGGTTACCTATCTACAAGGTCTATGACTACTCAGGCTGGCAATTTTCTACCTACGCTCCTTGTGTACAATAGCTTATAGCCATCTGTTTCAGTGGTTTTCCACAGAAACCCACGACTTAGTGTTAGCAGGCATGTCTGTCAGGCCTATGGCTGATTTTAGGTCTTCGTGTATAAGCAGAGCTGCCCCTGCCACCAGAGCAGGCATTTGGGTTCTTTGACTGTGGGCAAAACAGCAATTCTGTTATTGATTTTAAGGTATGGCAAATTAAGAGCCTGGAAATACACTTATGTAAGTAAGTAGAAGGAAATTTAACTGAAATTAAATACATAGGAAAGGATGTTTTTAAAGTTATATAAAGGGAAAGGATACATATCCATAGAGTTATTAATCTCCATAGAAGGGAGAATTTATGTATGCATAGATATATAAATAAATTGAGTCTGTAGTTCTTAAAATGTAGGTCAAGAGCATGGAGAAGGCAGAATGACCTTAACCCAGACATATAGTATAAACTTAGGCCTTGATGTCATATAAGAACAAGGCAAGAGATACTGGAGGAACACTGTCTCAAAAGATAATAACAATTATGGAGATTGTTTTGATCATTTTAAATTGTTATAATTATCAAAGTGTTTGTGGTTATAAGTTTGGTGCTTATGATGTTAAAAATTCTCTAGGTTAGAGATTAAAAATGGGCAAGTTTGAAGAGAAAGGAGGCTGCTAATTGAATCAATCTATACCATTGATGATTTTGTGTTTTTGGAACAAGGACAGGCTATTTTGGGTGTTATGCTCTGTATTTGTGCTAGTAGAAAGAGCAAAAGACTTTGGGCCCCTTCCAGACTGATGTGGTTCAGATATGACAGGGGAAGTCCCCCTGGAAATCTTGGCTACAGGAAAACTAAACTTTGAGAAATCAAACAAGCAGGAAACATGATTTGCTGATTCTTCCACATGGGAACAGTCCTATAACTAGCCTACACATAAAAAGTCTCTAGCCAAAAATTCAGAGAAAAGTAGACAGTTTATTCTGTTGCTTATGGGACACTTAAGATTCCACATGTCATCATTCCTATGGCATGAAGATTTATTACAATTGCTTATTGATCAAATTATCTTTTAAAAGAGTAGTTTTCTTGCACCTGCTCAAATATGGAGAAAAAAATTTCTCCTTAATTGTGCACCTTGCACAATCCATGGGAATCTCTAAGTAGTTCTGAAATCCTTGTTGTAAGATTCATATACTGCAGAATGTTCCCCTTTGACAAGATTCATTGGTGGGGATGCTGAGATGACCTGTTCCAGCTCCCTGCCTCCTGATGCTGGAAGAAACTAGTGAAATATTTTTGATAGACTCTAATGCTACTTGTTTTAAATCAATTTGCAAATTGCCCAAGAACCATG